ATATACAGTGCTAGCGTAAAGTAACCCCCCCCCTGTTTAACTTCTGAACAGATTGAGATATCAATATGAGCAAAAAAACGTCAGTTTCTATATTTTATCAGCACTAATATTGTCTTATGGAAAATTTTGCTATCACTTTTAGTTTTTCCGGAAAATGGATCAACTTTGTTTTTTTAAATGGAACACCCAGTATATTATGGTATCTTCCGAAAGAATAAAACAATACGAATCTAACGATACCTCACAATCAAATATCGGTTTATTAGTTTTTTACATAAATATTAAACAAAATGCGAAATTTCGCCGGAAAAACCAACGTATCTTCGTTGACTACCTGTCGAGATACAATAGGCCAAATAAATGGTGGACGGTCAGTTAAAGGTCGGTCTACGCTCGGGTTAAGCAGGGTTAAAATCGGCAATTCTTTTAGAATGTTTTTATGAAACAATCAATGCAAGAAAAGAATAAAAAGAAAGTTTTTCTTAAAACTTCTAAGAAAAAATTGTCATAAAAACAATTTTAAAGTTTGTAGGTACCTTGAAATTTTGTATTTAAGGCAGCATGCAAATATTGTCCTTCATTTCTATCTTTGAATTCTACCCGACCAAGTATAACCAAAGAAAGGCGAGATCAAAATGGCTAGAAGGAGTTTATTGCACAAAATCGGAGGAATTTTAATATTCGCTCGTGCTGACAGAAATGTACATGAAACAGAACGACAATTTAATGAACGATTTCCTGAACATCCAATTAGTCGAAAATATTTAAGAGAACTTGTAAATAAGTTTTTGGAAACTGGAAGCGTCGAAGACCGCAAAAGGACTGGTCGTCAGATATTAACAGAAGTATTTAATGTGCCCATGATGTCGTCTGCTGCTATCGCATCAACGTGTGATGTGGGTCCATCAACGGCGGGGAAATATTTTTAGATTTGATTCAGTGATGAATGTACTTTGTTTTTGGATGGAAAATTGCATCGGCAAAATGTACGTTACTAGAGTGATTTTAATCCACATGAATATCGTGAAGGTCAACTTCACGATATTCATGTGGATTAAAAAAGTGTCAAACTCAATTTCCCAAGAAAATAAATGGTTGGACAGGCATATTGGGAAATCACATCGGGGGACCAATATTCCTAACCGAAAATTAGACCGGAATTGTATTTAAGATTATTAGAAGAAGATATTAATCCAAGTCTTTTACAAATTGTACACCAGAATCCTGACGATTTTGAAATGGCTCCTCCACATTATGCGACAATGGTACGAAATTATCTTGATACAAATTTTAATGGACGGTGCATCGGTCGACGTGGGCCGATTGAATGGCCAGCAAGATCATCAGATCTGATACCTTTAGATTTCTTTTTATGGTGTTATTTAAAATCCAAGGTATATGAAATTTCGCTGAACAGTATTGAGGATTTAAAACAAAAAATTATTGACGTCTGCCAAAATATTGACCATCACATGTTAAGCCGTGTGAGAGAAGAAACAATACAAAAATGTTTGTTCTTAATTAATAAAAAATTCTTTTATTATTCAATAACAACACTAAGCCAATTTTTCAACCGATACGGCAAAATCTTTAATAAAAAAATTTCATTTCTTACATATATTGACTTTGATTTTTTTCTTTATAAATATTTTTTGATAAAATATGATTATCAATTTTAAATCCGTCTTAGCTCGAGCGTATACCTACCGTCAACCTACCGTCCACCATTTAACTGGCCTATTGCATTTCGACAGGTAGTCGACGAAGATACGTTGCTTTTTCCGGCGAAATTCCGCATTTTGTTTAATTTTTATGCGAAAAACTAATAAACCGATATTTGATTATGAGGTACCGTTGGATTCGTATTGGTTTCATCTTTCGGAAGATACCATAATATACTGGGTGTTCCATTTAAAAAAACAAAGTTGATCTATTTTCCGGAAAAACTAAAAGTGATAGCAAAATTTTCCATAAGAAAATATTTGTGCTGATAAAATATAGAACCTGACGTTTTTTTGCTCATATTGATATCACAATCTGTTCGGAGGGGTTAGGGGGGGTTACTTTACGCTAGCACTGTATATACTATCTCCTATATCGATGACTCCCTATCTAAGCAATGAGTGGCGACCGTTTTCAGCAAAGGCAGATGGAATGATATATGTTCTGTCTTTGTCGTTTCAAGTGTCGCGAAAGCGCATGCGTGAACCGTAAATTTTAAAGAGCTTGAAGTATTTCCCGCGTATTTTATGCAGTTTGAAAATGCAATTATTGTAGATAATTTACTTTAATTATAAATTATCGTAGATGCATCAAATAAATTAGAATATATGTACTTTTGTGTGAAATTGACGTTGAATATTGCTTTAAATATCAACTTTATGTAGGTTGTTCATTAAACATTATATTCTTTAAAATTAAATTAACACATATACAGGATGTCCCGTTAAGCGTACGGAGCGGCTGTATCTCTAGAACGGTAAGGCCTAGAGGTTTGGGAAAAAAATCCTTATAAGCAAAGTGACCAAGAGAAATAGCTGGAAATTATTTTGAAGTTCGTAATTCGACCGCTAGGGGGCGTAACTGCCATTGAGAAACATAAAGTTCCCGTTATCTCAGAAACTTAGACGATGAGCTATAACTTTGACAACATCATTTAATAGCTTGGATAATACCGCATCGCTTTTGTTTTGCGATATTTCTCATATCTGTCATAATAGGGAGGGGGAGGCCAATGCGTTTTCAAATGTTTACATTTTAATATCTCCTGGACCATTCAACCGATTTGAATATTTTTGGTTTTGTTTGAAAGAGCATTTTATGCTCTTTTAAAAGATATTTTCAGTAAGACCGCTTGGTTTAAAACAAATAGGCTAGAGGGCGTTATCTGCAGCGGTTACATATTTTTGTGATTTTTTAAAAAATCTGAAAAAAGCAACCCAATCCTTTTTTTACACTAAGATGAGATTTCCTTCTACCTGCTCAACCAATTTTTAGGACCCAAAAATATCTCCACTACTCTTTTTCTTTTTTATTTTACTTTTAACAAATTTTCTTCACATTCGTAACAAATAATAATTACATTTCAAATCGCTTAGTCCAAATATATGTTAATAATTATGTTATTATCTTATTATACACATAAAACCTATAATATACATAACTAAATATTAAGATTTTAGGTTATGTTCATATGTCAAATGTTTATTTGGTGATTTATAAACATCAAGGTCATCAGCTGCTATTAATTTTTAATTCACCGTCCAATAAGATGATAGCGTACGCACCACGTGCTCGCGCATGCGTCTTGAATTGGATTGAAACGACAGAGCAGATACATGTGTGTATGTGACATATACAGAGTGTATCTGAATGACTGCAACAAACTTCAAGGGCTGATTCTTTAGTGAATTTTAAGGGTACTTTGATATATGAACCATGGGCGACTTCGGCGGATTCCAAAAATGGCGGAATATTTTGGTTTAATTTTTTTTTTCTCAAAAACCATAAACGCTAGGAAAATGAAATTTGGGAAATATGTTTAACTCATAATAGGGCACGTTTTGCCCCTACTTGTACTTTCAACCTACGCTTCTAAACTACTAAACGTAACCACCCCCGTTCAATTTATGCCTAGATTTTTTTTATGAAGATGATAAATACATTGGAAAAATATCAGTTAGATAGATGAAACTATTCTAAAACGTTTTTGTCTCTCTAATGTTCTTCGAAAATTTAATAATTTCTGAGAAAGAAAATAATTAAGCAAACACTAAATGTTAAGCTGTAGGGTTGTTAATCGAAAGTTGGAATGAATTTTTAATGAAAAAATCTTAGTAGGCTTTGCAATCTTTGTCAGAAATATTTTTGACGTTTAAATGTCAGTGAAAACCACTGACATTTAAACGTACGATTATTATTGTTTTATTTAAAATTTTGAAACGTCGAGTGAACGAACATAAATGCGATAGAACTTTATTTAAAAATTAATTTGAAAAACAATAATAATAATAAGGAAAACACTTGCGTGATGCTTGCTGGGAAGCATCACTAAACCCGTGAATTTCAATAACACTAACATGATTAGATAATCCGAGCCAACGAGGTACAGCAATTTCAGAGACTGAATGAAATTGTTTTATAAATGTACACCATCGCTTCACAAATTCGTCTGGTAATTTTTCATCCCAATCGATCTTTTTTAGCCAAAGTTCTTGCATAAATAGCTTCGCAGTAATTACGATGGGTGCCAGTCATCCCAGAGGGTTAAACATTTGTGCAACAACTGATAATATGCTTCTCTTTATAAACGTATTACATTCAACTGAAAATGTTTTCCAACTGAAAATGAAACTGTCGTCATTACTTTTCCATATTAAACCTAAGGTTCGATACATCAAATTATTTTCAAATGATCGTGAATCAGAAGTTGCAATATATTCTTCAGGTAGCGAGCTAATTATTTCTTGTGAATTAGATGACCATTTCTTGGCAAGAAAACCGCCCGCCACAAGAATCCCGTTTAATTGGTGAATTTTTTCTTTAGCATGTATTGTATCATTAGCACCCGATAAGATGTCGTCTACATATATATCATTCAAAATAATATCGGACGCAAATGGTAAAGTTTTAGAGTGTTCTTCAGCCAACTGATGTAAACAACGTATTGCAAGGTATGGAGCGCAAGTTAAGCCATATGTAACAGTGCTCAATTGATATATTTTTATTGGATCAGATGGGTTAGTTCGCCATAATATCTGTTGAAATGGCAAATGATCAGAGTGAACCTTTATCTGGCGATACATTTTCTCAATATCAGCAGCAAAAGCAACAGGATGTTGTCTCCATCGCATTAAAACATCGACAAGATCATTCTGAAGTTTGGGTCCAGGCAAAAGGTAATCATTAAGAGACATTCCTGAGGTAGATTTCTGAGAGCCGTTAAAAACAACCCTTAACTTAGTGGATGTACTGCTTTCTTTTATCACTCCATGATGAGGAAGAAAGAATTGTTGGTCTACTGAAGAGATTTCTTTTGAACATTCAATCATGTGACCAAGAGAAAGATACTCTTCCATGAATCTGGAATATTGACTTTGAAAATTTGGATTTTTTAGAAAACGAGATTCCATACGAAGCAACGCCTTTTCTGCCATTGCATAAGAATCACCAATATTAATTGAAGTATTTCTAAAGGGCAATCGAACTATAAATCTTCCTTTAGAATCCCTGGTATGAGTAAGTTTAAAATAATCTTCACAATCCTGCTCTTCTTTAGTCAGTAAAGGTTTTTTAACGATTTGAGATTCTTCTTGGTTCCAGAAGAGGTGCATTAATTCATAAAGATTGTTTTCAGGAGAACATTGGAATGAGTAAATTTTGTCTTTTACATTTTCTGAATGGATTGATCCCGATAGTATCCAGCCAAGAGTGGTATTTTGAAGGAGTATTGAACCGTTGTTTAATCGACGAATTCCGCTTTTCATAATTTGGGAATAAATGTCAACACCTAGGATGACGTCAATTGTTGTAGATGACATAAAATGTGGATCAGCAAGTGTAATATCTTTTAATTCATTTTGAAGATCATTGCATATAACTTGTGGAGGTACGTAAGCCGTGATTTGAGGTAATACAAGTGCATTAAGTCGATATTGCATGTAAGGTTTAGTTCGAGAGCTAAGATAACAATCAACATTTCCATGTGAAATATTTGTTGCTTGTCCTCCAACACCATGAATAGGAACAGATTTTGAACGTCGAGGTAACTGTAGAAGTTGGCATAAAGATTCGGAAATAAAAGAAACTTCAGAGCCTTGGTCTATTAAAGCTCGAATTAAACATGGTTTTCCATTGAAAGCTGCAATGTTTACAAGAGCGGTCGCGAGTAATATTGTAGATTTAGTTGTTAGATGTGAGACTGCCATATGAGAGGAGTTTTGAATAACTGTTGTATGAGGTATGGAATTATTAGAATTGTCAGATGAAGTAATTTGAGAAGTTACTGTTTGAGATTGAGCGTTAGAACCATGTAATGAAGTATGATGTTGTCGTTGACAAATACGACAACGCTTGGATGAGCGACAATTCTTCATAAGATGAGGTCCAAGACAATTAAAACATAGGTTTTTGGATATCACAAATTCTCGTCGTTGTAGCGGAGATTTGTTCATAAATTGTTGACAAGATGAGATGTAGTGATTAGAGTGGCATAACGAACATGACTGATTGTGAGTCGGCGTTGAAACGTTGTGAGATTTAACGTTACCAATAGGCTTAATTGGAATGTTTCGTTTTGTAGAAGTGAGCTGTTCAATCGCCTCAAGACTATGAATTCTTCCAAAAAGAAAGCTTTCTAACTCTTTAAACGTTGCTGGGGATTTCTTACTCCCAATAGATTTTTCCCAATCTTTGAGGGTTTCAGGATCAAGTCTTCGTACAATCAAAAAAACGAGTATATTATCCCATTGATTTGTAGGACAATCTAATGCTTCAAGTGCACCAAGATTCTCTTTAATCTCACTTATCAAACGCTTAAGCTCGCTGGACGATTCTTGTTTAATTGATCGAGTCGACAAAAGAACTGACAAATGAGAATCAATCAGAATTCGTTTATTTTCGTAACGATCTATAAGAATATCCCATGCTCGAGCAAAATTATCTTCACAAATCGCGATGTTTTTTAAAAGTTGGGCGGGTTCTTCCGTTACACTCATTTTTAAATAATGTAATTTTTCGACCAAAGAGAGTTGAATTAGATTTAACCATAGAATCGAATAAGTCATGAAAATGTTTCCATTGTAGATAGTCTCCAGAGAATTTTGGTAAATCTATTCTTGGTAATTTAGGAGAATGAGAATTTATAGCACGTGTTGTATTATTTAAATATTACCAGTTACAGTTTCATGAATTTGCTGGAATTTAGCCCAATTTGAATTTAATAAATTTAAACGACTTTTTATTCGACCGATCGTCACATTTGCATCGCCTAGTTTTTTCAAATTTGTCATTGCACGCGAAATTAGACCGTAAAGTTCGATCTGTCGATCTAGAGTAATTCTAACTTCAGACATTTTCTATCTGATTTAAACGAATTTTAACGATTATTTGAGATAAATTTGAGAATCGGAGATTAAAGAATGAGTTGATTTACGAACCCGATAATTGTTTAATATTATTTCACGAAAATTGAGAAACGTTTTGTTAAAATGTCCGAAACGTTTTACCGCACGCGAGCTATCCGGCTCGAAGGACCAAATGTTTTGAGGTTGAGAAATTACGAGTTCGTTTGAGAATGAATTAAAGATAACTTACTATCAATATATTATATTATGAAATTAAATGGTTTGGTTCCACACTGCACTAAACAATAATTAAATCAACTTAATAACTACAACAACGAGACTGACTGATTTTCTACGTGGTTCGAACGAATAATACAAAAAATAAAACTTGTTTTAATATTTTCGGCAAACGTAAGAAACAAAATAAATGAATTCAAAATACAAATCTATGAACTTTAAACAATAGCTATTCGCAGTTTTCGGCATTAGCATTTTCTCGAAAAACGAGATCATGACATGTAAGCTACTTTTTTTGTATCTCTTTTAGTTTTGGAGATAGCCTATGCGGACAACGAAATTGGGACACCTGTACTCCTTATTTTCTTTCCTATTATCACGTATGGTCGGCATGGATGTCGACTGTTTAATTAGTGAAATTTGTGTTAGATCTCCCTTGTGGGACCAAAAAGATAAAAATCACCACAACAGATTTGTTCTGACAAATCATTTTCAATTCATTTTGCGCAGCTCTTATCGCTGCTCTCATTGTTGCTCTTATCGTTTATCGCAGCTCTCGTTCCAATATAACCACCTGCATATGAAACTATGACAACAATTTCGTTGTTTTGGTAGTATCGTCGCTATTATCGTTTATCGCAGCTCCAACGTAAACACACCCTTAGAAATAAAATTATCCTGATTTAAAATCAAGCTCGAGCGTATTTTAGGAAGATTAATACACGACAATTGCACAATTTATTGACAATTTTTAATTATTTATTAACTATTTTTGACTTAATTACACTTGTCAAAAATGTGACAGGTAAACAAAAGTATATATATGGTAGTCGCGTTTTTATCAGTTATAAAATATCACGTGTGATTTATTCAGTTGAAAAACCTAGGTAACTTTTATCCACTTAAAAAAATACGTTATTGGTCGAAATTTTAAACGATCGTTACTCTGATTGGTTGTATATTATTGGAGTGCATTATTTTTCTTTCAATTTTCGTCTTATTATTTTGCTGCGGGTCATTGAAAAACAGTGCGACAAAGGGGCCTTGGTCACTTGGTCGACCTGACATGACCCTCTTTAATCGGAACTGCCTTGTTATAATTTTATTGTTATTTTTTCTAGTGTACATGTATCTTATCCGATTAATAAACATTATTATTATTATCACTTGTTTGTACATGACGTGTGCACAGCATACTACATATTCCTCTTTTTGAGGAATATGATTTGAATTTGAGATGGAATCTCATTTCAACATTGACCCGTTCCTATTGCAACACCCGTTAGTAGTGGTATAGTTGTTCTAGTTTTTAAGAAAGATTGCATTGTTCGTTTCTAACCAGTAGTGCCATTTTATTTTAAAAAATTGTAATCCAAGGGAACATTTAGTTTATATAAAAAGAACTAGTAGAAAAAACCAAACGACGATTTTCAAATAGTGGGTAATATCAAATTAAAATTGATACCGCAACGACCACTTGTAATTACCCAATACAGACGACCTTACGCAATAATACGGATGTAAAAATACAAAAAAAACTGTTAGATTTCGATATTTCGATAAAGTTTGTAAAAAACATAAACATACTACTGGTTGTTTATTAAACATGCGGCAAAAATTCAAGGGGTTATTCTTTGGACTATTCTGAGAGTATTTTAACCTTTGATAGTTTTTGAAAAACCAGTTTGCTTCCCAGATACAGCATGAACAAAGATTTGAACAACAACAACAACATTTTATTATCAAAAAAAGTTAGTAGTGGTATAGTTGTTCTAGTTTTTAAGAAAGATTGCATTGTTCGTTTTCTAAGCACTAGTGCCATTTTATTTTAAAAACTTTGATTCGAGGGAACACTTAGTTTATATAAAAAAACCTAGTAAGAAAAAACCAAACGAGGGTTTTCAATTGGTGGGTGATATCAAATGTCAACATATATTTTTGTGTGATCGTTATCAGCAACATCACTTAACTAAAATTGATAGTGTAACGACCGCAATAAAGACGACCTTACGCAATCATACGAATGTGAAAATACGAAAAAAAAAAACTGTTAGATTTCGATGTTTCGATAAAGTTTGTAAAAAACATAAACATATACTGTGTGTTTATTAAACATTATTTAACATGATGCAAAAATTCAAGGGGTTATTCTTTGAACTATTCTAAGAATGTTTTAACTTGTGATAATTTTTTAAAAACCGGTTTGCTTGGAAGATATAGACGAACAAAGATTTCAACAACATTTTATTAGTGAAAATTACAAATATAAGCTTCCTAATCGACAATAACTGTTGAAAATGATCATCTCCAGCAAAGATACAAGAATCCAATCTTCTCCTCATTGACTGCCGAACCCATTAAAAAAAACAGGATCATTTTTTATTGAATTACAGCCAGCAGTGATGTGATGGAGTAGTCTAAACTAAAGAATTAAGATGGCCCCATAGAAAAAAATAACCAAACGTCACTCAGTCTCGATAAATTCGACAGATACTTAGTCATCAATAGAGAGATGAATAAATTGCATTATTATTATTATTATTATATGTACACCACTGAAGTGGAAAATGTGGAAAACTTACGAAATCGTATAACTGCTGGCTGTAATTCAATAAGAAACGATCCTGGTGTTTTTAAAAGGGTTCGGCAGTTAATGAGGAGAAGACTGGATTCTTGCATCTTAGCTGGAGGTGGTCATTTTCAATAGTTATTGTAGATTAAGAAGCTTATATTTGTAATTTTTACTAACAAAATGTTGTTGAAATCGTTGTTCATGCTGTATCTTCGAAGCAAACCGGTTTTTCAAAAATTATCAAAGATTAAAATATTCATAGAATAGTCCAAAGAATAACCCCTTGAATTTTTGTGAAACGTTTAATAAATACCTGTATATGTTTATGTTTTTTACTAAATTTATCGAAATATCTAAACCTGAGTTAATTCTTTATGCGTATTTTTCCATTCGTATTATTGCATAAGGTCGTCATATTCGGTAATTACAAGTGGCCGTTACGATATCAATTTTAGTTAAAAATGATGTTACCGATAACTATCACACAAAAATTTGTATTGACATTTAATATTTACCCATTAATTGAAAACCGTCGTTTGGTTTTTTTCTACTAGTTCTTTTTATATGAACTAAATGTTTCCTCCAATAAAAGTTTTTAAAATAAAATGGTACTACTGGTTAGAAAACGAACAATGCAATGTCTCTTAAAAACTAGAACAACGATACCACTACTAACGGGTGTTCCAATAGCAATGGGTCGATGTTGAAACGGAATTAAACAAGCTGTTGCTGTGAACGACAACCCCACAAGAAAAAACCTAAAGCGGTTAAATAGCACAATCTTAACATTCACGAATTGTTCGTACCATATGTTGTCCACGTCGATCAAATTGGGCTAAAAAAATTGGTTATCATTTATCTGCAGCGCTCGCCTTTGACGGTGATGGCCTCGCCAACGTCGTTTCCGAAGAACTACGGACCAATGAAAACCTTGAATGGGTCGATGCTAAAATGGAATTAAACAAGTTGTAAAAAGCCGGACAATCTTAACACCTTCAAATCGTTCGTAAAAAATATCCATTGTGGCATTCGCTGTGTGGCACATACCATATGTCGTCCACGTCGATGTCGGTCAATTCGGGCTAAGAGAAATTGGTTATCATTTATCTGCAGTGCTCGCCTTTGATGGTGATGGCCTCGCCAACATCGCTTCTGAAGAACTACGGACGTATGATACCATCAGACCACACAATAACTTTTTGTGGTACAGTACATTGTCATCTGGTGGACCTGGTGTGGGTTAGTGTCGTCTCGTATATGGCAGAAGATGTTTTTTCAATGAATTATAATGTTAAAAATTAGACCTATTCGAACCAATTGTACATGTACCATGTGTACAATAACAATCGAAACGAATTACATTGGCTTTACCAGCGTACCATTTCCATAGATATTTATTATCCGCAAAGATCTAATCTCGACAATGAAATGTTTCGCAGCGAATATAAAAAAGAAATTCACTTATATCAAAACATTTTTCCATCAAAAAGTCTTTACTGCGCTTCACTTCCGTCCTGAAATCGGCATTACTATATTAATGATTGTTGAACATGTAAATCCATAATCTTAACCAGTGCGACGATTAACTAAAATCCAAAAGAAGTGTTTTACTACTGGTTTTATTTCTCAATTTAAAATCAACCTGACATGTTTCGATCAATAATAGATCATCATCGGAGGTATCGTTAAACACAAAAATAACATACGAGGAATTTCAACATGAGATAATGTTAATGCTGGCAGAAATTGTAGTAGAAACTGTAGTTCTGAGAAGGTTTGATCTATGGTTAAACCTTTTTACTTTACATCTTTTTGATTATTTGACTATTGTCAAGAACTGAGAGTGTACAAAGCAGAAACCAAAAATCAATAATAGATTACGTACTGATAGAAAACGCGCACAAGAAGAAATTCAAATATAAACGATACAAACAATAAAATTACACACGGAAACGGAAAATACAACGAACAAATTCGTACGAGTTATGAATAAGAAAGTGGACAGTAACACAAATCACATGAAAAATGGAAACATAGAGGATATACCGGGTGTCCCTCAGAAGTGGTTCACCCCCATATTTTTTTTTATTATTAGTGACATAAGAAAATCATTTGGAATGCATAATTAGGCCATTAAAACGGATTATTACGACATGAAATCATTCTTTTTGTACTTCCGCTTATACCGGATATGAGTACTAATTTCGCTATTTTTTGAAATCTACAATTTTTTTTTCTTCAGTTGGGTAGACAGCATAATTTCACATAACTTTTACTTGAAAAAAGTTTCACGATCTTATTTCTTTATGTAGGTAAGATAAAGACGCGACGTACTGTCTGGGACGCACCATCTGTTTCGATTGGACGGAACCCTCCTCTCCCCACATAGGTTATTTCTGTTTCTCTTTAATTTGTAATTCCATTAAATCGCTCTTAAAAAAGTAATGAGAACCAATTTTGAAAAACTGATAACGGAATCCGACAACCGACATTATTTGACATATTTTGGTAAAAACCGCGTTGAAATCCGCCAGGTCGTTTTCGAAATAACCGCATTCTACTAAACCGCGATTTTCCGCGAAACTATATGGAATATCGAAAAAACAAAATATGCCCCACATTAAGAACACGTCGGTTTACCACCTGTTCAAATTTGAACTGTTTTTTTCGTCAAATAGTTTTGGAGAAAAAAATCGCAAAGTAGACAAAGTTAGCACTCTCAAAAATCGGGTACTTTTTTTACTTAACTCCCGATAAAAGAAATGTCGCATACCTAAAAATTTCTAAATTAACATGTGATACGCAGAAATGTTCACTGATTACAATAAACTTTACCGCAATTTTTTCCATTGAGCGGTTACGAAGATATCGATCTCTAAAGTGAGCGCCCTTGACTTTTTGCACGGATAGTAGATGGTAATATAATCATTCAAAATAGTTACAAAAGTAAGAACCCCACTTGAACTTCTAAGAGACAACAAAATCCGATGTCATCAAAATTGATGACATTTTCCCAAAATCCGAAAGCACGGACGCGAAGAGCTGGTCTCCACCTACTCACTATTCACGGAGATATCGAAAGAAGAACGGATTACCAGGGAGTATAAACAAAATTAAGCCTTTTGAACCCGTTACCGAAATCATAATTGGGGCTAGTTTTAGAGTGGGAAAGTTGACCACGGATGAACTGTTTACTGTTAAGCAAGTGCTAAATAAGACTAATAATAACTTTCTTCCGATTCGATTACCCAAGAACAATTGTACTATCTGTTGCATGAATTGGGAGTACTGGCAAAGATGGTAAACCAAAAGTGACACCAAAGTGCTTACCAAAGTGGCAATAACGGGTGCCAGACCTTCTTCAATCTGGCATTAGAAGACATTATAAGGAAATCAGAAGTAGGTAGGTCTCACCTGCTGACAAACAAAACAGGTCAGCTGACAGCAGGGACGCGGATGACATCAATATAATGAGACGATCAAATGCGAAAAATTTAGTACTGGAAATCAACACTCCTATACAATAATAACTGATGATAACATAGAACGTTTTTGCTGCCTGGGCATGAATTTTACTAGCGATGGAAAGTAAGATTGAGAAACAAAAGGGTCCGTCGATCTTGCCAATGAAGCCTTTACCAAAAAGAACAGTGGAATGCAAGAAAAACGGCCAGTAGGAAAGCCGCGGAAAGGTGGAACTAGGCAGTAGACGCAGATGCTAATCGGTTAATAAGGGCTGTAGTGCCGCAGAAGAGAGAGATGTAGTTTAGAAGAGAGTTTACTTAGAGCCGACGCTTGAGCCTACAATGCGATGTCGCCGAATAAATGGTCTAAATCTTAATAAAATGAAATTACATACGAACGAAATACCACCTGGCAATAGCAGCAATGTTTTATTTTCATCAGTACTGTTACCATCTTTAGCATCTTTGTCTTCGTCGTCGTAGTATTTGTCCTAAACATCTTCTTTCTTTTTTGGTGTAAAAAAAACTAGCAGACTGTAAAAAAAGGCTTAACGATGATGGGTGATACTTATCGGCAACAGCATTTTCAACTAATCTCGATAGCGCAACGACCACTTGTAATTACCCAATAAAGACGCCGATACGCAATAACACGGATGTAAAAATACGACAAAAAAATAAAGTGTTTGATTTTGATAAAATTTGTAAAAAATGCAAACGTATAAATATCAATCGTGCAAACTGTACGCTTTACATTTGATAGTTTATGTCTATAGGTACTACAGTAACAGTAACAAGATCACGATGAAAGTTTGGATTCTTCTAGCTTACGGCTTGGTTCAATTATTAATTGGTAGCAGTAATGCAACCCCTGTTGGTACCTTTGAAAATGATAGAGTGGTAAGTTTCATTTCGTTGCTTTTACCATACACATTTAATATACTTATTTAGTATTTGTATTATACTTTTTGTTTGGTACAGTAAGATTCGTTTCAATGTTTACATTGCTTACAATTATAAATTATGTATTTCAGATGACTGTTATAGCTACTAACATGGATAATGAGATGGAAGAAAAGGTTGAGACTGTCATTACTAAAGTGTACGAAGAGAACCCAGTTGGTGATTATGTCGAACTTATACGAACTGCAATTGCTAAAAAGTTATCCGACATGACATGGATCGTTATTGAAGAACCAAAAGCGCAAAGTTTGGGTAACGTCCCGAAATACTTGTACATCAAGAGAGCTGCACCAGGCTACGAGCCAGCAATATACCTCATTGTCGGTTTTTAAACTTAAATCAATAGTTTACTATAGACTACATAAGAAAAATAGTCTAAAAACTACTTTGTATTGATTACTTTGCCAAAATTATATAATTATAAAATAAACAATATTTTGTTAAAAAACCGTATCTTTTTCAATTAACAATTATCCTTAATATAAGTACGAAGTCTTTCACGGCCCGTGTGAATTGAACTAAAACTAGAACTAACACTAGAAACTTTCGGGTTTTTCCGTGCGTCTTTTAAGAAAAGGTTTGACGTTTCGGATACCATGTTGCAACCTTCTTCAGAAACTGGTTCGATGCGACGAAATCGAAAATCGGAAACAATATATAAGTCGGAAAACTGATTAATAATCAATTAACGCTAATTACAAGCTAATTATTAAGACGCAATTAGTTAATAATTATATTATCTGTTACGGTATTATTTATTATTTCATCATTATTCAATCAGAGAAATAGAATCAAAAAAACTATAACCTGAAAAGAAAATAATTAACACAAAAATTGATTCAGCTGAAGCAATAATGTATGGAACACTTCTTTTAATGTGAAAAAAAAATGAAACAAAAGTAAAGTCGAGCGAACAGGTGGTAACAAAAATAATAATAAAAGTAAAACAATTATGAAATGCAATTCAAAATACAAATTATTATGAAATGATGCAAAATACAATTCTTTTCTTTCATAAATGGGATGAAATTCTCCATATTTCTCTAATATAAAAAATATGATATAGGTAAAAGTAAATACTTTTTGAGAAATATTAAAAATGTTTAATTCAATTCAAGCAGACATGTTTCGAAACTAATCTTTCATTAATATGTTACAATATGTTACTTCATATGTTACCTTCCAAGATTTTAACTATATTATTAAAGTTTTTTAATTTTTGATTTTGTTAAATTTAATTTTTATTTGTAAATTAAGTTAAAAGAGATTTAGATCTATTCCTGAACCCCACCTACTAACATAACATTTTCCATTATATTGTATAATATTCTACACAGGAAAAAATCGTGTCGTGTAAAAATTTTAGAGTAGTTGGTAAAAAGAATTAGAGTAAAAATTGTAATATCACATGGTAAAAATAACTCTAATGTACACTATATTTAATATTAATATAGAGTTCATATATTATTCACTTAATAGAGTAGTTTTTACAGTTCTCTAAAGGAGAGTTCTTTTTTACTTATGTTAGTGAAGTTATGTAATATATAAAACATTAAATTTTACACTAGACGTGTACTTTTCCTTCGGGTACTTCGTAGGCACGTCGGTACCACGTGATCAACATGTGATGTGATACAAGCTAAAATTTAACGGTCATCTACTAAACGAGTCGGAACTCGATAGCGCCTCGAGACCTGATTTACGCGATATAGAAAGAAAGAACGATTATTTTTATTTTAATTATGTTTGCCAAAATAAAACATTCATGATGTGAAATTAGTGGAACTTCCGGAAGATTTTACATACAAGTTCCTTGTGAAGATTGGTAAGTATGTGCAACTTGGTGCAACTATACATATAGGAAACTTATAGAAGACTCTGTTGTAAAGCACCCTTTACACCCTTCAATTTAATAAAATTGTTTATAATATTTTCTAGTTCATAGATGTTTGTTTATATAATTAATTGTTTACTAAATTGTGTAAAACAGCAACGGCATCAGAATTGGTTACTATAATTGTTTTCATTGCTAAATTGCTGATTCTGATATCGATGGTCTTGAACTCATTATTTTATATGTCATTCTGGGATTGGTCGATTGAATCGTCACAATCACGTGTTCGGAACAATTATAAAACATAATGTAAGACACAAAAGGGAGTCAATTGAACGCAAAATCATCTATCATCAATAACTGTTCAATCTATTGTAATTACTGATCGAACGGGTACGTTACACGAAGAGTGCTGGAAATAAAGTTAAAGTTAATATAATTAGAAGAAAACTGTCTTTTATTTGGTTTGACCAACACCCACATAACAACTCATTAGATGCAGTTTTGATGGTGACTCGGTGAAAACTTTAAAATGAATTAAGTATTATATATGTTATATATGTATATAAACAGAATTTAATTTTTTTAAAGTTAAGTTATAACAATATAATACAAGTAAAAATAAAAACAAATATTTTATAATTTTGATTTTTATTACCAACTTAAAACTTCCCTAAAAATACTCCACTTCCTATTAAAAATTAACACTAATAAGTGGAAGATACACACTATTTAGTGATATTTTGTCAATTAATAAGATAAAATTAGAGCGAATTTTTAATAATTTACACTGATTAGATTAGAAATGTATCTAATTAGAGTCACGACAACATCTAGTTAGATTACATATAATACACTGTTATAGAGTAACGATTTTACACTATTTAATAAACACCATCTTCTCACTATTTAGTGTAAATTTTTAATCTATTCACCTACACTATATAGTGCAAAAAAATAACTCTAAATAAGTTGGACCGATCTGAACCATGTTTTAGAGTTGATTTTTACTCTATATTTTTTCCTGTGTAAGTACTGAAGATGAAACATTAGTTTCGAAACATGTCTGCTTGAATTGAATTAAACATTTTTAATATTTCTCAAAAAGTTTTTACTTTTACTTACATCATATCTTTTTTTTTTGTTTAAAGAAAACAATTAACAAATTCAATCGAATAAACCAAAGTATTTTTTTGGTTTTTTCTTTTTCTATAAAAAAAATTGATATTAAATGCTCTTCAATTAAAAAAAAATTGCTGGTACTTCATACTAGCACATAATGCCAGAGTTGTTAGCGAATTTTCAAATACAAACTTTTAGCAATTATTTGATACATTATTTTCCATCATAGTATATATGATTATCGCCATAGCAACATTAACTATTAAATACATACTGTTCGTCCCTTGCCCCAATCTCAGATTATTTTAGATCTAAATTTAAAAATTGTAAGAATTGCGCTTGCTCACGGTCACGTCACCCTCGAAACGACCGTGTCCAATTTGTAAATCAAAAATCTCTCTCTTCAGGGGCTTAAGGGGCTTATCCACGGTCAAGCATGCTCGTGATGCATTGAACGGTGAACTTGACGGGCCTCTTGAGGTTCCTGGAATCTTCCTTAACCCTCTTCATCGGATCTAAAACAGACGGAAAATATATTGGTTAATATTCGCTAAATTAGCGATATCGGAAGTGGATTTGGAAAGGACAGTCGGGTTCCCGGATCGTCAGACGAGAAGCAGCCTTGGCCGTTTATGGCGAAGGTGTTCAACGTC